AAACCTAAGTATGCGCAAGCGCAGAGAGCTCACGTTTCAAATGAATTAACTCATTTTTATTTTGAATGGTCGAACACCAGAGACACACAACCATTTGCTCTTCTGGCTAACAAATTCGCTAGTCAGTTTGCACAGTGACCGACAATACCATGTGCATTTACTCATGTCTTCCTGAGAGACTTGCGAAATTTTCGCTAAAATGAATTAAGCCAATGCAAGCTTAAAAGCGAAATGAACGATGATCTTGTCTACCCAAGATGATGACAGTTCGCTCACAATTGAAGCGACTAGAGCCAATGAAATTCGTACATTTGTAAAATAGGGTCTCATTTGTCCCAGAAAACTCTACTCCTCAATCCCACAGTAATGTTTGAGGCAGAAGGACTACCGTCATTTAGGGTCGAGGATTACCTCTTCTTTGGCATATCCCTCGCGGGGGCTCTGGGGATTGGCATATATTTTGCATTTGCCGGACGTCGAGATGGGTATCAGGAACTCGGGGTTCGGAAAAAAGCCACCCGGAAATATGCCACCCGGAAAAAAGACCCCCAGAATTGACAAAAGCGGAAAAAAGCCACCCGAGATGAAAATGCAAAAAAGCCACCCAGGGTCATTGCTTAATTATATGTAGTGAATGGAGAAGAGCCACCACAGACCCAACTAAGATGGCTTCCAATTGCCCCAAAGCCATCGTATTGTGCGCCATCTCCAGTTCTCTTTTTAGCTCAGTGAGTTAAACCCGATACTACGTGAGTAAGACATGCGGACCGTGTAGGGCAGATCCGACCAACCCGCAAGCCCGCTTATGCCTCTGAGCGGGTTCGGACTAGCCCTGCTTGAAAGAGTTGAGATCTTGCGCATGCGACGCAATCACATCAGGGATGTCAGTTCCACTATAAAAGCACAAGAAGCTCATAGTAGTCAGTAGGTTGAGGGGTAAAATTGGAGCATTGAATTTAGAGGGCCAACTGTCTTCGATTAGATATATTTTAATTGGCAAGTGTTCGTCCCTATGAAACGCTCTGCGTGGACAAGGGCTTCCACCCGGGATTTTCAATTATTTCAAAAACTCTTGCACATTTTGACATAGGGATCCCGCCTAGGATCTCATCGAAATTCTATCATTTTCGCCTCCCATAACTCGGCGTACGACGGTCGCATGGATGAATTGAGAAGAGCACTACCCCCCCTTGCTCTCATCTGTGCACATCCTGATGCATCCTTCCAGGAGTAACGCCGTGCCTATGCATCCATCCATATCTGATGACATAGATTATCATGCTGTATCGGCATGACATGCCGTAGTAAGCCACGGGCTAGAACGAATTCTGATTTTCCTGATGCTCATGGACCTGACCTGGAGCAAGATGACCTGAGGATGGTGTTAGTTTTTTAATTTTTGCGAATGAAGTTATTTTCGTACCGCTTAGTCTCAATCACATGGTTTTTGGCATTTAATCGCCTCTCGGAACATAAGAGTCGCGTAGCGACGCGAACGCAGCTAGTCATTAGAAAGTTGAATGCATGTTCTATTTGCAATTTAAGGAAACTTTTGGGGACCAGTGTAATAGTGTGATTAAAATAACAGTTTCTTCCCCATCCTGTACATACAGGGTATGGCAAGGAAAAGATCAAGGGCTTTTGACCGAAGCATCTCAGCCAACATTGGATGTGTTGAGCTGAATTCATGCTATCAGCAATTATTGAAAAGAAGTAAGATATTGACAGCGGACACGAGCTCCTGCTTGTAGTGGGGAGTAACGCTTCCTGTTATTACTACTATTATTCGCTGTTATTCCCGATCCTGTACACCTCGCCGAACTTCTCCTCCGTTAACTTAATTACTTGGGCTGGTCGTCTCTTCCAAATGGCTTTCTTGAGCGTGTTTCTAATGAATAACAGATGAATTAACGAGTTTCTATTCTTAGAGTTTTCATAAAGTACAGTTCGCATTTTCCTTGGTATTCTGAAGGAATTGTCAATTTATCATGTTAGACTTGTTATAGTATATCCAAATACATGTCCATGCACATAAGAGTCTCTGTCCATGTCTTCCTAGATACAGGTACTACCTGCACCTACTACAGGATCTACCTGCACGGGTCGTTATTTCGAAACCGACCCGTTCGGCCCTATTCTAATTGAGAATCACGAGTGACCAGAAACTCGATCAATGACTGCACTTCACGTGCTCAACTTGCAGATCGCCCCCAGCCCGCTCTCTACTTAATGCCATTCCATGTACTCTCAAACTGATGTAAACCAAAGAAAATTCGAAATTAACTTTGAGAAATATTTTGAATCGATACAATTTGATTCATATGTCATTGGGAATAAGTCATTGAAAACCATCCACAAGAAACGGCCAGCCCAAAGAATGAATATGAGCGGAAGTGGAGTTCGCATTGGTCTTAAAAAGTAGGAAGTACAACAATCAAGTGGTTCTGCGACTCCTCTACCAGGAGCTTTTGTCCATTGTCAATGTCTAAGGTCATTTCAATAATTGCTGATAGTATTGCATCGGTTCAACATTTTCGGATGATATTTTAGAAATCAGTTGAAAGCATACGCTTGGGTAAATATTGAATGTTTCCCTAAATTAGTTCAAGTGAAAACATAAATTTCTCACGGTTTAAATTCTTTCGTCTTTTTTCCGGTGCCTTGCATATTGCTTACAGTAATAGTACCTTAACGGAACATGATAAATATGCTGTATAACATGACCGACTCAGATTATATTGGTAAGACAAGATTTAATATATTTAGCCTCGACCCTGGCGCTGCTCCACTAAAAGCCATTTCAAAGTAGCAACATGACATACGTTATTCTATTTCCACCCAAATATAATACAATTCAGAATTATTTCAAATTGTGATAATTTCCCCTAAAATGTTTTCTCTTGACCTGTTCCCATAATCGAGACAGCCAAAAGAAAAAACTGCATTTAAGGCTCATCACAATTTCAACTTGCTGCCTGATGCTCTTTCGTTATATAGTTCTTCGGTCATACATATGCTGTTAACTTGTTAACAAATTTAGCTGTTTCTTCATGACACTTTTCAGCATTTTGCTCATTTACATAAAGTGTGGGATTTTATAAAAGTATTTATGAGCTTAAGGCAAATAAAGCGTTCCATAATCAACTAAAGTGGACCATTAGGAACAATATTTTCTCATCGATTCACATTCGGGACTTAATATGAGCGGCACTGATGGAAACAAATAGGTGATGTGACGGCATTAATATCGGCTTATAGCAATAAAACTCACTTCCTCATCCTAAACGTCATTGTCCATCTCGCTAATTCAGGAGACGTCATTGATGCATTCACACTTAGTGAGAAAACTCAATAAAAGGATTGGGAGAAAGGTAACTTCCTGCCTTTACGGTAAGAAGCCAGAGATACGGCTTAAATGATTTTTTAGTGAAGCATAATGATACATTCCCGTAAAATAGCCAACGCGTTCATATTACATTTCCTTTCAGTGTAATTGAAAGAAATTCGCTTTGTGACAATTGTCCATTCTGGTTGAGCAGAGTCTGACATTTGGCTCTCTGAAAATTCTCTCCCTAAATCAACTCCGAAAGAGGACCCCAAGATAGAGGACAGGACTTCTAATGGCTGTGTATTTTACTGCTGTAGTTGGACGGTCTCCTCGCCCGTTTTCTTCAATCTGGCCTCACATGGAAACGTTAGTGGCGTAATATTTTTGCCAACGCTTTTGATTCCAAAGTGAATCTCCGAAAATATTCCCACAACAAGGAATTTATACATTATTTATGTTAAAAATGAAGAAAGATCAATGTCGATCGAGGGACAGTATGTTAGAAACAAGGAGAATTCACCTACCGTGTAATAGGGGTTTGAGGTTCTGTTCAGCTTCTTTTTAAGCATGAAAAAAGTTGTCCCATTTCCCCGATCATCTAGCTGAAAGTAATCTGAGAGAAGAAACTCAATTACACAAACATGCACATGCCACTGGCAATGCAGGAAATAAGATCTCTCATTTTGCGCCATGTAACAGCTGGAAGCACCTGAAGCACAAAAAAGACTGGGATATGGTGTCATTAATTTACCGGAAAAAAACCTGAGCGTTTCCCGTGCTTCTTCGATGATAACTGCTTCTATTTTCACGCCGCGATAGCAAAGAATTCCATTTAACGCATTCAATTTAAAAAATATATGCATTGCTCTCGTAGTGGCTAAAACAAATTGTGCCTTCTTATATATAAAAATTACTTGACTCAGGTAATACAAGGTGTTAACTCCCTAATTGGTAGCCTAAAGAGAAACAAGAGTAATGGGTGGAGACCTATGGAATGTGGTACTACGTGCCGCAATGATTCGAGCTAGTAGCATTCTTGACCAGCTATTTTGATTTCTATCTGCACATGACCGGTATGATATGAAAGGATTGAAAGAACTGCCTCCGAGTGATGAGTCACCTGTTGCTGATCTATGATGTGAAAAAGCCGACCAGGATCCAATGCATACTCCCCGCTTCCACAATCTCGAAGCTTTACCATTTCAAAGAGGCACTACAATTTTTTTGGCCATTCTGGAAAGTGGCAGCTATATAGCCGTATGAATGCTTCATTATCTTTTAATCAAATGTTTGAAATGTTGTTTAATGCCTCGAGGGAAGTTCCTTTCCAGATAAGAAGCATTTAATGTAGGATTACGCTTTTCTCCTGTTATGGGCGGGAGTGAATGAGGATCCCTTGTTCTTCTTGGAAAGGGGTACTTCTTTTCATCATGATTTCAAATGCAAAAATTGGTGTTTGGTTTTTGCTTTGATGAATCCAATATATTCATTTTCTATTCCTTCAGAGTTCCCCCCGCAAAGTATCAATAGTCTTTGGTTTCGTGCTTAACTCTGCAGTCATCCGTTATTATATTTCACCTCAAGAATTCATACACATTTTGGAGTTATTCCTTGGCGGTAGTAAGGTCCGTGCATGAGCCCTCACCATATCCCGGTCTTTATTTTAGCCTACTTAGGTATGCCTGAACAAACTTTCTGTGTCATTGACGAGGCTGAACACAATCATAGCATTGTCTCCAAAGTCGTTGTCCGTGGCCTCCATGTAGAACTCAGCGCCAGTGTTGCTGTCAAAGATGTATGAACCCTCCAACAGACTCTTCAATGCGAGAGAGTCCATCATCATATTCGTGATATATATATTACATTGAGATCAACGAAAGGGAGTGATCCTCACCTCCTTTACGTTGAAGGTGTATTGGTCTATCTCCGGCCATATGATATTGGGAGTTTCGTCATTTATATCTTTGATGTGGAGGTGGCAAATCTGAGTGGTGGAACTTGGAGGGTTTCCCTTGTCCGACGCCTGTGGTTTCCAGGTAGGTCAAAACATGCTCTCAATTGACTGAAGGCAGAATCGCAGAATCATTCACAAAAAGAAGCAAATAATATCATTATTGCCTACGTTCGCTGAGTTTAAAATAACCAAGGCAAGTAGGTCCAAAAGCTATTCCGATGGGTGAGTACATGAGCGGGACATTTTCATTTCAATACCTCAAAACACTGGTCAAAGAAGAATAATTGAAATGGTGATCATTATAAAGCGAACAAGAAAAATAAATTTGAGGATCTTTGCAGAAAATAAATTAGGAACACCAAAATTCAGATGCATTACTTGATTTCTGACAAAATGAAGGAAATATTGGTTGAACACGTTGTGCTACATAGACAAGTAAGATTTTGCCAAAGGTATTAGGGGGTTCCAGAAAGTAATGTTTTTTTGGAAACCAAATGTAAAAGTTATTTATGGCGTGTCTTTTTTTGTTTTCAAATGAGTTTTATTTATTAATCTAAAGAACCGTTATTTGTCATACATTTTTCGAAAAAAATTTTTACTTTTTTTCCGCGAGAATGTCTGATCACATTCCCGAGGAGAGCCACAAACGACATTGTACGCTCAATGAGTTTCGTCAGGGAAGTAATGCAACGGGGGCCACCAACAACACTTGTGGTGTTTATGGTGATGTATTGGATATCCGCAAATGCCAGCGTTGGTTCAATAAATTCCAGTCAGGTGATGTTGATCTCTCGGATGGCCATCGTTCGGGAAAACCGGTAGACGATTCGGGAGACGGTTCTTTTCCAGTTTTCAGCCAATTGTTGGATGATTTGATAGGAGTCTGACTCAACCTCCGACCTCAGAGATCGTTGTCCAGCTCTACCAGTCTTTCCAAACGATGGTCAACCGAGAGATCAACATCGCCTGACCGGAATTTAGTGAACTAACGCTGGCATTTGCGGACATCCAATACGTCTCCAAAACACCACAAATGTTTTTGGTGGCCTCTGTTGCCTTACTTCCCTTACGAAACTCATAGATCATACAATGTCGTTTATGGATCTCTTCGGGAATGTAGTCTGACATTTTCGCTGAAAAGAAAGTAAAAACTTTTCTCACAAAAAATTGACTAATAACGGCTCCTTAGATTAATAAACTTAATTATTTTGAAAACAAAGGGAAACACACCATAACGTTTACATTTGGCTTGCAAAAAAAGACATTGCTTTCCGTTACTACAGTATTAATAAATTGAAATAGGGAAGGTCCTAAGTTCTATTTTTAATTCATTCGAAAATGTTATGCCATTATTTACTTTAAATTCCCATGTTCGAAAGCAGCAAAGTCATTGTAGAATAGAGAAATTCCAACCTCACGATATGCAAATGCTCACCATAATTTCCATCTCATACCGTCCGCGTCGTCTAGTGAAGTTCATGTTTGCTGCAAACTTAATGATATAGGTTGCGATAATCTCACTTGGTTCAATTACTAATTTAACCAGACCCATTGCGTCTCCAGGATTTGCGCATTCATCTTCACTTGTACAATTGATCCTCAAGATTTCGAACTCCATCTCCGTGTTGCTCGTCCCCGGTTGGTCATTATCGCTCACCATCACCGACCCCGGCAGAATAGTGTTCTGGTCATTCCACGAAACAAAGGCTTAATAGCTTAAGAGTGCTCGGTTGGGTTTTTAGGCTGTGGAGTTGAGTTAAAAACCGCTGCTTACCTCTCTGGTATTCTCATCTGCTTCGCTATCTTGAATATTAGCGAACACCGGGTGATTGTCATTCACGTCCAAAATTCTAATGTCAAAGCTGGTCTCGTTCCGATGGTTCACTAAGTTGCGAAAAAATAAGGGAGATATACAATTGAACATGAAAACAAGCTGTTGCGTATGAAAGAAAATTCAATGGCACGAAGTGCATACCAAGGTATGTAATGTGGTTACTGGCGTTTTCGTCTCGGACAGTTCGTCGCGGACAAAACGGCGCATGCACATTCGGTCGATACACTACTTTGTCGCATTCTCCTTGTCACAAGGTCATTACAAGGGCTGGGATGAATTCATATGGTAACTCCCCAACCCAAGCAAGGCACTTGCGGACTTCCTGGATGAAAGCCCTAAAATGTCGTCAATCGAGGTTCAGGAACTAATGACGAAGTCAGAAATCAAAATTGCGAACAACACAGCGAAGGAAATTAAATTTTTGTGGAGTCAAAATAATTATCTACGACCTTGATACGCGCGTCCAGGTTGCATCACTTCTTCATCTTCGGTTGTGGCATTTGCCTGCCGAGGAGACGTTCAATTTCCAGAGCGTGATGGGCTTGCTCAATTAGAAATGCTTTCATTAATTTTGCCGTGATGGATGGATGGAAGACAAGCAGCTTGTGAAAGCCCCATGTCACCCTTCCATGTGGTTGTTTGTCCTTGGAAGATCGTCGAGCACATGCCCTGTTCCTCCCGAGCAGAACTCTTGTTCACCTTGCTTTCACCCCTTTCACCAGTGTGACTATCTTTGCCCGAGACGAAATAATATTGCGACCAAATGTGCTTGCGATGATTTGTCCGCGACGAACTGTCCGCGACCAAATTGGCCGCTAAGAAAGCATGCGTATCATTTCATGTGACCTGTAGGAAAGATTATTTTGTAGAATTTTGATACTGATATTGACGAGAAAATAATGAGAATAACTACTATTATTTCTTGTGCATCATGCTGACAGTGACGACATGACATGTGGCAGTGTGCATGCCATTCAAATTCATGGTATTGCCTAAGTCCCAAGTAGTAAATAAAACCCCTCAGGAGGTTACAAAAGAAAACTCTTAAAAATAAAGGACCAAGTCTTCTTACATTATTTAAAATAAATGCAGTAGAACCTGTAAATGTGATTCCGAGTTTGAAAAGCAAATTTGATACTTTCAGAGCTCGTATTCATTGAAGCAGTGACACATTTCAAATCATCATTGGTTGACTGGCAAACAGCATAGAAGTCATAGGGTTTAAACATTTCCTTGATTTGTTCTCCACGATTTTCGAGAACATACCGAGAAAAAGCATGAAAAACTTCGAAATGTAGTATGGACTTCACATGGAAATCGCTAAAACAAAACCAACAGTAGAAAGAGGCCATACGCCACTCTACCGCATTCTGAGACTGACCAGACGGCCGCATGAAACTTAAAGGCAAGACAAATAAATGCAAAAAATACGTTTAAATCCCATTCATCATTTTAGGTCTTCGCATGCGATATGCTTTATGGCAACGTTTACCAAGGAAGTGAGAGAAACTACACTTCAGAAAAAATAAACCTGAACTTGGCTGTGCAGCATAAAATGCAGAGTCGCCCAAAACAGTGACTCAGAAACTGAAGAAATCGTAAGATAAGGCAATCGGCGTTTACAATGAAGAAAACAATTCAGTTTGCATCCACTAGAGCAAGTATTCAAGGTATCCACCCTTAGCGTCAGCCACAGCAGGCAATATTCTGCTCCATTTTGTCTGTCCACCGATCTTTGCAACGCTCTCTTGGGAACCTGTGCCCAGCCCTCATGATCCACACTCTCAGGTGCTCTAGATATCGCATTCAATGATGGTAAACCTTTTACATCATTGCATTTCGCTCAAAAAAAGGTCAATTGAGCCAAGAATTGGGCTGTTCTGAGGCAAATTATTGGGGTCATTGAGGGCCGAGAAGCGTTTTTCCAAAAGGTGTCAGTGAAGCATGAAACTTTGCGAGGGGACTCTATTCTTTCGCAAGATGAAGTCTCCTTTGCATCCCCTAGTTATTTGTAGGAAAGAGTTATTGAGGAGGATAGTCTAGTTATATTATCTGCTATTGACCTTCCAACCGCAACCATCAAGCATGCACTAAAGACTCCCAGGCTACGTCACTAAGAGGTACTGCAACTTTCTGTCCAATACAGAGCCACGTCTATCTATCCACTTCAAATTTACAAATAAATTAACTGACTTAATTAACTTTTTACATACTAATAATGGAATGCAAATAATTTTATTCCAAATCTGCACTACATTTTACGATTTTGCAGTATAGGAAGATAAAGTGCGTAAAATGAAAAAAATGGAAATAATTTCACCTATTGGATGGATCACCATGTCTTTTGCCTAAATTTCCATGATTCCCTTTTGAACTCCATTCTCTTGCTGAACATCTTCAAAAAAAAGCTTCAGAAACAATGTATACTGTGAAGATTCAAAATATGGCCACAATAGGAGCCTTAAATTCAAAACGACGATACTGCATGTCCTTGTAACCAGGGTGCTCAAAAGCAAAAATTATATGCTCTCGGATGCTCTCTTTGAGGTGGCATCAACTGTTGGATTCGTTTTGAAATGTTGGTACTTTTGCCTCTGCTCACGTTCCATTACATTTTCTGAGCTAAATTTTTTTAGTTTCATGTTTATAATTGAGTTGATGCCTGTTCTCATCGTTGTCATTGTTATGATGGTGAGTGACATAAAAATTGGATGGAAAAAGTTGGCCATTCTCGTTTCTTGTGTACTTTGTAACATGAGTCACATTCTCTGTACGTCACGAATGTAGTCACGAAAACATTACCTTGTTTTATGTCTCAATGAATAGATTTTACAGCTTATACACTATGATACTGTATATATCCCTCATATTTTACCTAAGTAACAGCGAAATACTGTCTAAAAGCAATTAAAATAATGCACGATTAATTTACGGAAGACCTACACTGAGAAATCGTATCCTTTCATTCTAACATGAGTCACGAAAAGTTTTTCTATTTTCTCTCACTGAGAAAAACTTAAGAAAAAGTCATAGTATTATTGCCAATAAGATTTCAATGCCGGCAATCGTTATGCCTTTCAGGGACGATCTGAAATTGAACATTCAGAAGGCAGGACGGAATTAATTAATGAAAAAATTGTGCACATGTAACATGAGTCACGGTGGAATGACCCATGTATAGAAATCGTAAAACAAGGGAACCAACCACGCAATGACTATGCCACCTTGCAACTATATTACTCCCCTGGAGACCTCTGACCTGACAACACCACCTGGTGGTTGGCTGAGGATCTACTCAACTCCCTCATCTTCCTTTCTCCTGCGGCAATAGCATGAGCCAACTCCCGCCTCAACCGATCATCATCGCCTTTAATTCTCCTATCTGTACCTTCATCTCACCTCATCTCTTTTTTTGTAAAGGGAATGTCTCGTAAATAAAGGTCATTGATCAAATTCCAAAGCCAATGATTCTGACTCATGGACTTTCTAAAAATTAGTTTATATCAATAGTCTAATTCAATTGACAGGAAATTCTCTCCAGTTTCTCTGACTTACTTTCATAATCGCTAAGTTGTCGTGCGAAAATATTAGCATGTTTTGATTTAGCAAAAAAATGCGGAAGCAGGAATTGGAAAAAATGCATTGTTTAATAAGCATCATCCTCATTAACAACTGCCAATAGGACGACTGAAAAGGGAGGTAGGTGGCCATTGCAGCAGTTGCCTGGACGGATGCTGACTCTATTCGTGATGTAATTGAACGATGACGAAATGATTAAGAAATACACCAAGATCATGTGATTTTTTTCCTTAAGCGGAATGCAATTAAGCTCATAAAAACGCTAAATGTGACCATTGCAAAATAAAAAAACAAACAAATTGTATGCGATTGCGAAGGGTTCAAATTGCTAGCTTGGGGTAGACTACGATTAAACTCATTCACATTTGAAGGAATGAGGATACTTTCAGAATCTTTACTTCCAACTATATGGAATTCAACAAAATGCATGCCGATGAGAAAAAGAGAAATAAAAAATGTTATGAACTTTTGTTTGACGAAAATTGCATTGATACAATAAAACTTTTGTCTTCGGGAATCATAAATTCACCCTTTTCGCTTATGCTCTTCCAACTTCCGTGTAGTGTTTCGTTGAATTCAAACAAGTTGAAGTTCTTTATATACAGGTATTTTTGGAGATGGCGAACGCATTTACTCAAAGTCCCATTTAACAATGAGAGAAACATTTAGCTTAACCTTTTGAAATTGCTATGATTTGGAAAAATGACATTTTCTCAAGTTTGACTAAGCCTTTTACAATTATATCCGTCATTAAAATCGGGGTAAGGGCCAATATTGAGCGCACTTTTTAAAATACAAATCTGTGTCAAAATGGTTGCTTTAGGTGTCTTGAAAAACTCAAATAGAGCAAGATTTCATAGTCCGACTTATGGCGCATTTAAGTCAATAGCTTATTTATTTAGGACGCTATATATTGATGATGATGTTTAATTTATAGAATAAAAGAAGGAAAGAAAGCAATAAAGAAGGAAGGAAGGAAAAGTCGCCACAAATGTAACGATATCCTGCAAGTATGATTATAAATTAGCTTTGGATCTTGTACCTAGTGGATCATCAACTTCATCTGAGGCAATGACGTATATAGTGACGCTTCCATTCCTACTTCGGAATCGCTCCCAGTCCACTTCCGCTCCATCCGCCACGGACAACATCCCTGTTTCCGAATCTACACTGAACAACTCCTTGCCCTCGAATGAACGGTCAGCCAAGGAGTATCTCAGCGTGTTGCCCATTCCTGTGGACATATTTTCGTCTCATTATGTAATTCAAGCAGTGGCGGCTCGTGATATTCAGCGCTAGTGGTTCGTCTATGGAGAGGGGGTAGGCAGGGGAGGGCGCTGCCTACTCCCTCTCCATAGACGAACCACTAGCGCTGAATATCACGAGCCGCCACTGAATTCAAGTGGAGGTATTGACCATGACCAACACGGTTTGAAAACATTCCTGGAATATAAGGAATTACGGCACTATGTAAGAATAACATGAAGGAACTCAAAGAAAGGGACATTTGGCGCTTCGGTCGAGTTCACCATGAACCGTGAGCCCCATGGTTGGGAGGAAAAAATGTCGAACCTATGTCGCCATCCCTGGCCTTCAGCATGAGGATTTCAGTTCCACTTGGTGCATTCTCTTGCACGATGGGCTCCCTGTCGTAAGGCGGAACCTCCCACTGGGGCCAATTGTCGTTCTTTCCGTTGACCTTCACCGTTACCGTGGCTGAATTTTTCTCTACACCATTCACGTCATCAACAGCAATCTTAAGAAGTGAAAAGGAATCCAAGTAAAATTCATAATGAAAGGAAATTTGAAGCATTGCACGCCGGGAGACTCATCCTCCCTCAGTATGTAGCAGTATTTCTCATTAGGAAGCCCAAAGTAATCCACATGTGGCATAAAGCATTGCGTTGTGGAACTCCCAGTTCTCCACGCATTGTAACATGTGAATATTAGTATAGAGTCGAGAATAATTTCCTAAATGCATTGTTTTTTTTTTATAAATAACGTGGACTGGGACGGATATACACAGGCAAGGACAAATGCCACAGGCGGCAACACAGAGTAGAGGAAATGGAACTCTAATAGGACATCCCTGCGCCCCACCTTCCCACGCTTCTTGTCATAATATATCCCGTTTTCACGGGCCCGGGGAAGGTGGTGACAACTTCGATGCCGCTCCGGGAATAGATTCCATCGCTGCACATCGGGCCGCCAGGGCCGATGTGGCAGGTGCTATTGAGGTGCACCAAACCTATACCTACAGAGTGGCCTATGCTTCAGCCCAAGGGGAGAAGGTAGCACCCGAAAGCAGCAGGGTGAACTGTCGGCCCAGGAGAATACCGCCTGCCGCCGGTCGGATTCGAACCTGGACCTCCCGCGTGCGTCAGAGCCCCTGAGCCACTGAGCCATGGTGACGTGGTCGTTTAATGCATTATTACCGCATCACGATAACAATTACTGTGTATTGCCGAACCGCGTTCTCCATTTCGAGTTATTTTTTCTACTTTGATTTTATTCTCTGCAAAAGAGGATATTAAGATTCACTTGAAATTGAAAATAACCTTGTTTCTCAGTTGCCAGTTGCAAAAGTGGATATAATTTTCTGACGGGAAAGTTTCAGTTCTATCAATTGTTTTTCCTTTTAATAATTGACTTCAACATTTCAAAGCAAATAGAGGGAGGCCAGCATACAGTGCCCACTCTGCTTTCGTAAAGTATGCTATGGTGTTAATACTGCATTTCCCACAGAGATGCTCGCATATGGTCTGCTCATTAAGGCAGAAATTCTGAAGTCATCACGTGGACATCGTCCATTTAGATTTTGCGAAAGCGTTCAATACCTCCCACAAGAGGTTGCGGGCTAAATTGGAGGTGCAAGGGATCTAGGGTAGGGCGATAACTGGATTAGTAACTGCTTATCGGGAGGAGAGCATGTAGTCACGGTTGATAGAAAGGAGTTGTCGGAAGTGAATATTGCAAACCGTGTCCCTCAGGGTTCGGTCCTTGGAACGCTTATTTTTCTGCTCTAAGTTAATGATTTAGATGAAAGCCTAGCAAGTGAAATCGAAAAATTTGCCGACGACAAAAAAAAGCTTCTTCATCTTGGGAGGAGGACACGTTTAGAGCCACGAAGGATTTATGGCTTTTGGATAAGTGGAGTAAGAAATGCCTTCTGAGGTTTACTATAAGTAAATGTGAGGTACGTCATATCAGTCGTAACAACGATAGGTCTCTGAACGGGTTTAGGGGTCAATAAACTTAAGGAGGCGAACGGAGAGAGAGATTTTGGGGTTAATATCAATGAGGTACTCAAGGTCTCGCACGCGCAAGCGACGATAGTTAAATGTGACAGGGTTCTAGGAAAAATCAGACGTTCCTAAGCTAGGGAGTATAAAGTATAAAGCGCTGCATATAGAGGAAGAATAATGCCCGAGAATCGTACTTCCGTTATATGCAGCGCTGGTAAGACCTCAATTGGAGTATGTGTTGCGTTCAGTTTTGGAGGCCTGCATATAAAAACCAACGGCCCTCGAGGAGGTCCAGAGGTAAGCAAAGAGAATGATTAAGGGGGTTAGGGCACTTCCGTACGAGAAGTGTATTGAAGCGTTAGGATTGTACTCAACCAAGAGGAGGTGGGTTGGGGAGGGGGTGGGTGGGGGAGGAACTTCATCTAGGCATTTGAGATCATTAAGGGTCGGTTGATGAGTGGAGGTTAAACTTCGAGTCTGAAGAGCATGGGGTTAAACTAGAAACCAGACGATCTGCGATATGATGAATGGCGGCCTGATGGAAGATACGGCTAAACCTTAAAAAAAACGGGGGCTACATGAACTCCACTCATCAGGTGGTGCTAAGTTGTTCCCTTCTTGATGAGAAGCCTATTGCAGGAGGATGACAAGCCATGCTCTGATCACACAATGCTGTATGCTGTTATTGCGTATTTTGTGAACCTCGTTGAACTAATTGAGATTACAGCAGGAGATAGGCAAATGACAAGTCCAGAACCTAATGAATCAGTGCAATCATTGTACACTGTACGACAATGAGGAATGTTCACTGCGGTTTCAAGGTTTCTATACAAGCAGACAGTGCTGCATTTAAAGTGTTTTTCACTCGAGTCAGACTCTGTTTCACTTGACATCGACGCTCATGCATAAGGAACGTCCTTATGCGCGTGTGCCCGAGTCAAATGAAAAATAGCCAAATTCAGTAGAAAAACACTGTGCTACAGCATTTGCAACTCCAAGGACCCAAGAAGCACCAATCCCGACGCCAATGGATGAATGAATCCACAAACGTGAGAAGGAGCCGTTTGTCCTGTCATGAGAACTTTTCAGGACGTTTTGACTGAATCGCAATGCTGGATGGGCCAACAGAATCCATTAATAACACCTATCGAAATTCAATAGCAATAAAGTGTCCCATCCAAATGTACCGCAACATAGGAGAGGCTCGACGTGTAATACAGGAAAGCGCATGCGCACCGTGACGGTGGGTAAGGATCCCTGGAGAAAAGGGTGAGATTTTTGGGGAGAAGTGGGAAGGTGGTGTTAGCTAACTCCGATATAACCTTTGATTCATCAACCGACACAGGATGATCAGCCTAACCCGAACTATTGATATTTAACGCGGCCGAGAAGTTAATTCGGGGCCAACTTAGGGTGCCTTCGAATCAGTCTAGTCTAGTCTAGACCAGTCCAGTCAAGATTTGTAATGGTTCAGTCACATCAAGTCAAAGCAAGCCATGCTTCAGTCAAATCAATTTAGTCAAGATCAGTCATGCATTCAACATTACCAACGGATGGGGTCAAGCGGTGAAACCCGAACGCCATCATCAGGGTGAGGGTTGAGTCGAACGCAAGAAAAAAGATTCTCGTGATTTCGCCTTTCCACGCACCTCGTGTGGTACATCTCATGCTCTTTATTTTACCTCTATGTATGACAGATAAATCCATGAAAGGTTCTGGGCGACCATGGAGTTCCTGACTGAGACAATGGAGGAGATAATTCCAGAGCCGAAAATGTACCCTGAAATTAGTTTCAGGTTATATAGTAGGTACCTTGAACTTATTTTTTCCTCATGGTGTACATCACGCATGTTGCCCAGCAACCCAAACGAAGCTAGCAAGCTCTCTATTTTTCCCCCTTATCTCTTCCCTTTCCAATACATCTCGTCAAATTTGACCTCGTTCCTCCCTTGTTCTTGGAGTGCAATAGCATTATCTCCAAGTTAAAGTTAATCTGTAATAAATTCACATTAAAAATAATTTACGTCAAAAAGTTTCTATATCAACATGGATATTGAAATAACGAGAAAATTGATTGGAAATTGGATCATTTTAACACCTTTGAATGTACAAGAAAATAAAACTTTCATAGTATCGAATATAATGAATTTGAAATTTTCTTTCAAGTTTCTGCGTTTTATTATGAGTCGACAAGAGTATGAAGACATGCAGGATCGAGGGGTTGAGGTGCAAAAGGTAATTATGTAGTTGCCTCTTTATAGAGTTCTACTCAAGACGCAAGAGTGTTCGGGTCTAGCCGTGCCTCGTTAGACTTAATCCGTCAGCTTCTCATTATTAATAAATATTACTTACTCCGCAATATCTCGTTTGTGATATTTTAGGGGCGTTTCATTCTCGTAGCATTGCAAGCTGCACAAACAGAAGGAAATAAAGAGAAATACAATTTGGTGATCCTCAAGGGAGACGAGAGGTCTCTTCTCCTCGCCTCACAGTGCCATGCCGAAACCCGTCCGAGTTCCGTCGCTTTACCCTACCTCTAAATCGAATTAGTCAAGTCTAGCCCCTCCAGTCAAGCTCGGTCAGGTGGTTACGCACACATAACTACAATGCCATTTCCTCCAGTGGTGTTCTTGTTGAGCAGCATGGAGGAGAGTGAAGAAATGGTATCTACCCATGTTTTGTTGTGGCGATGGCGAAATAAGTTGTGGGTGCATCCCATTAATTCCCAAATACAGCAATTCGGTGCATTCCATCACCTTTCACTGACTTGCAGAAAGATCCTGAGCGAAACCTTTGGTACTTTCGCATGAGGACATCCTCTTTTGAGAAACTCTTGCATCTCATAGCTCCACTCATAGAGAAGCAAAACACCGATTACAGGAGGACTATCTCTACATTGGAAAGGCTAGGAGCCACACTAAGGGGAGTCACAAACATAACATCATCGGTAAATCTCAAATAATGGCTATATGCAATGAGGTAGTGAGTAGATCGTTATTCAACCCTTTTATTTCAAAAACACAAGTAAAAGGTGAGGGGGGTGTCCTACAAAATCGCGAATACTTGTCAGATGGCGAATGCCAGGTCATCAGTTGCTAGCTGAGCCCTTATTTCTCACAAGTCACACCTATTCTTCTCACAAATTAACAGTTTTTCCCTTGTAATATAGTGCGAGAGTTGGAAGTATTCAAGAAGAAGTTGGTGCCCTTCGCATCTCTTGACGTGTCTCATTCTCTAGTTCACAGTGCAATCAGGAGCTGCTCTCCTATCTCAATCGAACCAAATCAGTTTCTTATAAGAGAAAAAGGGAACTCATTTTCAACAGTCATGCCCTCTTCGCTTCTTAATGAATTTGAACTTTGAGTTCGAGTAGCATGAGCGTGCTACTTTGTTGTGCGAGCGTACGGAAGCCCTGATTCGTCATACAGAGCAGCACTAGCAGGTCAAGAAGACGGAGTTGAGGCATAGTGATGAGGAAGTGGCACACAAAAAAAATTAAATTAAATAGAGGGCAGGGTCGTAGATCAGCATGGCGTTCGCAATGCCTTGCGCGTCCAAGGAAACCCAGCGTGCTGTAATTCAATTTCTGACTGCTGAAGGTGTGTCACCCATCGAAATTCATTCCCGAATGTTTACACCGATAACTGTTTATCGCGGCCACGAGTGTACGAGTGGTGCAAACGTTTCCGAAGCGGACGTGAGATTTTGAAGGACGACACACCCCCAGGCCAGGTCAACATCGTCGGCACGGAAACGATGATCGCAAAGGTGGACGAGCTAATACGGGCCAACAAAAACGTTTCACTGATGAATTGGCCACAGAGTTGGAAATCAGCAATGGCACTATTCACATTATAGTCAATGAGCACCTGCGATACCGGAAAGTGTGCGCAATGTGAGTCCCAAAGTGCCTTAGTGAGAACCAAAAGAACCTGCGCATGGGCTTGAGTCTGCAACATCTGCAGCGATACAGAGAAGAAGGGGACTCTTTTCTGGAGAGAATCATCATTATCTGCGATGAGACTTGGTGTCATCATTTTGAACCAGAGACAAAAAGGAGAAGCATGCAGTGAAAGCATGACGCATCCCCTCGTCCAAAAAGGTTCAAAACTTTTCAGCCTGCAAAAAAGGTGCTGTTCACCATTTTCTTCGAGTGTTATGGTTCGTTGCTGCTCCACTTATTGGTACCTAGTGAAACAGTGAATCTTCCCGGTACTGTAGTTTGTTGTCGGGAGATGTCCGCCGTGCCCTAAAGAACAAACGTCCCGGACTTCTCAAGAAAGGAGTAATTCTCCGGCATGATGATGCCCGCCCACACGCATCAAAGGAAACGAAATTGGTCATCGATAACCTCGGTTGGGAAGTGCTCGATCACCCACCGTACAGCCCTGACCTTTCCCCCTGCGACTTTCACGTGTTGGGTCCACTGAAAAGTGCTGCTGGGTGGGCAGCGTTTCCACTCGGACGATAAAGTGCAGTAGGCGGTCACATTGTGGTGTAAACAGCAATCGCATAAATGTTATGAGGCTGATATAAAAAAAAAACCTTGTGTAGCGCTGGGATCTGTGCCTCAACAATGGTGGGGAATATTTTTAGAAATAAAACACTGCCAGAAGAAAAAGATTTCTCCTTTCATTTGACTGATCCATGTATCAGTACTTCCACTTGGGAACTCATTTCACGCATTCCTTGAAGTTTCATACCACACGGGAGACTGATTAAGACTGACGGAAAAATTGAGCCTGTGCCTATTTGACTATATGTGACTGACGAGGACTAGACTGACCTTGACTGATACGATGCGAGGTGAATATCAGAAAGAGCATGTGTAGCAATGGAGCTGTAAAAGTTTTGACTAGATTAAAGTTGACTTGACTTGACTAGACAGAAGAAGACTAATTGGTGCGCATGCACACTAGGACTCGCCCAGCTTGACTGGACTAGACTAGACTAAACTGATACGGTGTGAAGGTGGTATTAGTCATTGCATGTTGAGCAATGGGGCTCTAAACATTTTGACTTGACTAATCGTGAATAGACTCGACTTGATTGATCCAGTGTGAATCGATAACGTAAAGCGGGGTAGATTTTTCGAGTTTGATGCTAGTGGCAGAAGGAGTTGAAACCAACTTACAAGGAACACTACCCAAGTGATAATTTCAGATTTTCACCAAACTTTAGTAATTGAAAGGGCTCTCAAAACAAAGTCAAACGGCACCAAAACCTACGGCTGAGAAAGAGGTTTAGCCTCATAACTGGCGCTCTCAATTTTCAGTGATACATGATTATTATAGTCATGGTCTTATTTTCTTTGGCTATAACTTTCTAAGGGAAAGTCAGATTCAGGTGATATTTGACAGAGAGGTTCTTCAGTGAAGGAGGATTTTTTCCATGCCGCTAGGTGGCGCTGCATGCCGATAGAGGGCGGTGATGTCGACAGCAGCGCCACCGACATACTTGCTATGTAATTTTTCAGCCACTGAAAAAATTAGTTCAGGCCTATTAATCTCTCTGCCAATTATCAGCTGGTTCCGAGAGTTCTTTCAAAAGATATGGTCAAACAAAGTTGGATTTTGACCCAACATTTGAACTGTTTTTGATCATGAATTTTAAAGGAAAAGATGCAGCTGACAAAGATGTTAATGGGTTCATGACTTATTCATTCCCTTACGCAGCACAAGGCTCTACATGTTGACAGGTGGCGCTGTGGTGGCATATGCAAGGGTAAGAGACGGTGACTAGGAAACATCCAACATTCACTTCACTCCCACCAAGAGAATACGAAACTTTCAGAGCAGTAACGTCTCATGTTGATGTGCTCTTACTACATTCCTAGTAAGACATAACATTGAATCAACATTGATTCAAAGCTGGTTGATCGTCTGGATGTTGAATCCGCGTTGAATCAATGTTGTTTCAATGGTATGTGCTTCTAGGGGTATTACTAAGAAACTGTAAGCAAAGCCCTCGTGCTCCTTCACATTTCACCTTCGTGCATGCAATTACTCTCCCTTGGAAAGTTATAGTCAAAGAAAATAGGTCCATGACTATAATAATCATGTATTCCGTATCACTGAACATTGAGAAAGCCAGTTATGAGCCTAAACATGTTTCTCAGCCGCAATTTTTGGTGCCGTTTGACTTTGTTTTGAGAGCCCTTTCAGTGACCAAAGTTTCGTGAAAATCTGAAATTATCACTTGGATAGTGTTCCTTGTTAGTTGCATGTACCCCAGCCGAGGTGAAAGTGGCGACAGAACTTCTTTGCTTGTGGGATAGTGAGCGCGTTTGTGTTAAGAGACGATGTAGCAGCTGTCCATACCCTGACTAGCTTTAAGAAAAGACCAGATGTCTTCATGGACAAAACAATAAAGGGAATATCGTAGCTTGAAGTGCCTTTGCTAGTCTAGCGGGGTATGCAAAAAAAGGATATTTATTAGCGGTAGGCCTGTCTTAAGAGTATCTGAACGCCCCACCTCGAATGTGGTCATCTTGATGGAATTTTAGGCCTTTTCATAGCCCTACGAAACCCTGAACCTTAAACCCTTTTGGTTGCAAACTATAAATCTGAAGACATGGAGTTTCTATATGGAATTAGAAGTGTACTTTCTTAACTCTTCGATATTTCAATTTTGATTAGGCAAGCCTAATTCACAATATGTCCACTATCCGCTTCATTCCCGAAACTTCTCCAGCGGACAAACTTGAAAGGCAAATCATTGTTTCCCCACCATAATTAGCCGAAGGGTGGACACAGAGAGGACTGCTTTTGAATTGAAAGCGTCATTAAGAGTGATCCATAGCTCCATATATTCTTTAGGCCAATATATATAGCGTTCTGTTGAATCAGAGTTGTATAAGTTGCACAGCAGCAGATTATAGGGTAATAATATTTTCTACTAAGGCTGTTATTGACGTACTTATTGAAAATTGGACAGAACGTTGATCCCTTCCCTCCCCCTTGTACTATTCAGGCTCTCTATATTCTAACCTTACCCTCCACTCCTCGCGTAAAGTAACAAATTTCACGAACCGTGATAATGTATTCTTGATAATCCTGATTCTCGTAGTCGAGGAGGCTAGTATCATTTACAATAAGGATCACCTCCGCTTGACCAGGAACGATGTTTGGAGGAGATAATTGGAATGCCTGTGATGCTGGTGGACCTTCCACAATTCTCAATCGGAATCGATTGTTTAGTACACTCTGAAAGAGAAGGGCAAGGATAGCCATGATAGATGAAGACCCTTTCTGAGAGAATTTTATGGATTTCATGGGGGCACTTACAACGTCGGCATCTGTCACAGTAATGGATGAATATTCTCCGTTAGTAGAGTTGAAAACAAGAGCGTAGCCCTTGTAGATGTCCTCATCCACCACGCTCGTGAAAGTCTCAAAGTTGAACATTGGGTCGTTGTCCTCTATGTCACTGACAAATACCACGCAGGTCTGCTCTGTGGACTGAGCTGTTTCTGTGCCATTTTCGTCGATTTCTGTCGCCTGAAACGTATAATCAGTGAAGTCGTAGTCATAGTTGACCATTAGCACGACAGATTTGAAATATCTGGAAATAAATGAATTGGAATGAGGTCCATGTTGATTTTCTCGTGGTTAAAGATTGTGACCAATCCAGATAATAACAGGAATTATTCATGCTTGTCACAGTTAAATGGGGCTCATTACTAGGATGCATAGGTCGCTATTTGTGTGCTTTCCGTTGCCCCATAATATCAGAGTGAAACTCAATCCCCATCCTCACCTTGATATTGAGCGTAAAGAAGGTGGTGTTGAGAGCTTCGGCGTCGATTGTCTTTGCCCTCTTCAATTTTGCGGGGTCTTCACTGCTGCCTGAGGGTCGTTCTATCTTGAAGTATCCTTCTTCATTTCCTAGAAGAAGACTTATTTGTATCGAATGGAATTCCATTGAAAATTAATCATTTTTAAACCTGATGTGCACCAAATGGGTACCATTGGGTATTGAATACTCGATTTGGCGTGTGATTCCCAGTGATTGGTCCCCGTCCTTTGCCAAGAAGTTCGCTATCACTTCATCCTAAGTGATGGACAAAATGCATTGGTAAGCCGAAGAGTATCCGAACGAAAGTTCAACATATGACACCTGAAAAAAACGAGTGCAATTGAAAATTACAATTGTACTTCGTCGAATGTGTATATGTCTGTTAGTTCTCTAACATTCAAATTATCTCATATAGAGCGCTGATTTTTCTATGGTGATTCGCTTCGATCCAAGTATGTGCCCATTTCATAGGACAAAACTCTATCGGAAGTATCCTTTTCCATATATTCGCGAAAATTTGAACGTTGCAGTTGAAGATAAATCAGATCATCATGACCTCTGACGTCAAAGATATCATTGAATATATATCAATAGTAAAAATTAGCATGTCTATCGGCTCTGTAAAATCGGTGCACGATGTCAGGAGCTATAGGAAAACGTTATGAAATTATTGAATGCACCCCAGTCATCTCGCACCTACTCGAGTGAACAAGGTTTTCAGTAGAGAATAGTGATGCCAAATGAGAGGCGGTTTTGCGAGCTATCCCTGGTGAGAGCAAAAGCAACTCGAAGAAGAACCTGCTTCAGCCCCGTGGGGATTAGAAGAAGTGTACTCTTCCCCGTAAAGGTTAGAGAAGAAACATGTTTCTGAAGGCACGTGCAGGAAGAGAAGTGTACATCCAAACCATCGGTTGGGATCAGATTTTTGCTGTTCCGCGCTGAGAGCTGAACAGACGGATTTTGAGGCGAATTTTGGATAAGCAATGGCACAAATTAGTACATTAGGAGCACTTTACTAAGGTAACATATTAAACTGTCTGAATATATGAATATGTGCGTAAGTGATGCTAAAGGCGCTGAGTATTTGGATCACGAAAAGGTGCTGCAGGACTTTTGGAGAGCAGTATATGTTTTAAATAAGTTTCGACAACGCTTTTATATTCGAGGAACTAGCATGTTCCCTAGAACCAGAACCTGAAAGAACAAAATGCGCTAATCGCGCGTCCTTAGATCAAAGTCAGGCATCGATTCCGACAATATTTCTCAAAATCATTCAGCCATTGAGTAAGTAATTGCATAATTATATACTCGCATATTTGCGCCTGAATCAGGTTCTCATGATTATTCTTGAAAAATAGAAATATATAACACGTTAGGAAATGCAACAATCACCTCCAAGTTCTTAAGGATAGAAATCATGTAATACTCAAGGATTGTGCACAGTATTTAGGCTGGATTTATTTCGTCACAGAGGAAATATGAGGTTTTACACATTGCTGGGCATTTGCGCCTATGGGTGCGTGGAAGATCAAAGTAGGACACATATTTTGTGACATTATTACTTTCACTTCAGTTTGCCCAAACTTTGCCTGCATCTACTTTGCCCGTGGTATATGTGCGAAACGCAGAGTTACAGACTACATGATCAAGAATTTAGGAGCGTTTTGTGACTCTGCTCGAAGTACATAACAATTACCAAAAATAAAAAGCCAACATATGAAAACCTTCACATCATCTTTATCGAACAACATGTAAACCTTCATGTGGGATACAGGTTGTACGCTTTTATATACAAGGTGTCCATAAATTTACTTTCAGGAGTCAGGAGTCAGGAGAGTTAGTGATATCAAGAGGCGATTTCGCCCATTTCGATATCACGTGTCGAGGTCGAGCGTTCCTTAATTTTAGGGTAGGCCTAACCCTCTTAAAGCTATATATTTTTGTATTTTTTTTTTTTTTTTNACTTTTTATTTCTTGAACGAACTGCAAGATGTCAGGCAATATGGAAGGCATCAATGTGCATGCGTGTGTATCCATGGACAGTACTTGGGCTGAACAGTTTCCAAATATATTCCAAATACAGTATTTTTTCCTATTTCAAAAGGCCCTTTCGCCATTACGGAGCGGCCTAGAAACATCATATTCGGCACAAATGATGTACAGACAAAGGAATTTATGATAGCCGAGTTTCCAAAGGTTTACAAAGAGTTTCTGTAAGTCACAACCACGGAGGCGCTATACCGGCCAAACACAGTCCAAATTCCGCACATATACCAATACCTGCATGGATGGCAAGACCAAGCTTGCAGGTACTCGATGTGGACACGCCCCCTGCCCCTACCACTGCCTCCAGTCATGTAATGAAGTAGCAGACGACAGAACGTAATTATTCAGACGACAATGTCAGAATCTGGCTCAGTTTGGCGCCGCTATGCATTCCTTGAGCTCCACTAAGTTCGCAGGACGGTCACTGAAAACCCCACAGGCAGAAGTCCTCAGGTGTAAGATCCTGTGACCTTGGCGGCTAGGCCTGTGGGAAAGCCGTGCTGATAACACGGTCCTGGAAAGTACGTTGGAGAAGAGACTGAACGCGCCTCCGAAAGTGTGGAGGGACCTGCGTCTCTGGCCGGTAGAACGCTGCCCTTGTGGTGATATCCAGAAACTTTTTGGAAAATTTCGGAAACGTGGCTGTCATAAAACCCATTGGCTGTACATTATCTATGCAGAATATGAAGCTTCTAGGCGGCTCCGTAATGAAGATAGGGTCTTTTGACATAGGGACATGACTTGATGGAAACCCTGTATATTCCCTAGGCCACCCTTACGGAACTTCCAAATACAGGCGTATGTATAGAATGGTACAGTACTGAATTTAGCCTTGTTTGGAAATAGTTCAGTCCGTATCATGTTTTGGCCATTCTTAATAAATATGGAACTATATATGGTTCATATATAGACCCCCAAATATGGTGCTAGGTTTGCAATGTATATGGCACTAATATAAACTATAAGGAAAAAATACTGTATTTGGAATATATTTGGAAACTGTTCAGCCCAAGTACTGTCCATGGATACACACGCATGCACATTGATGCCTTCCATATTGCCTGACATCTTGCAGTTCGTTCAAGAAATAAAAAGTTCTCACAATATGAGCGAGGTCGCGCTCATCCCGTCGCTATATGTCTCCCGATTCCTCAAATGCTAATGAATGATTCTGCAGAAGCTTTCACCCTCAACTCGATAATTTCCCACGTACAAACCGAAGATTCTCACAATATGAGCGAGGTCGCGCTCATCCCGCCGCTATATGTCTCCCGATTCCTCAAATGCTAATGAATGATTCTGCAGAAGCTTTCACCCTCAACTCGATAATTTCCCACGTACAAACCGAAGGAAGGAAGTCATTCTAATCAATGAATATGTTGAGAGAAGTAACCTAGCTTCAGGAGGTTCTAGGCAATTCTTGCCCAATGCATAGAAGGAGTGAGGTTCCCCTTGTGACGTGAGTCACAAAAACCCTTTCATAAGTTTCGTTGCCGAGTGACTGCCTCTGAGCGTCTGCTTCAATCTCCAATTAATAATGCATGCGGGGGCCACCTTTATTGCAGATTAAAAATATATAGTTGAATATATCCATTATATTAAATATGACCAAAACGTGCCAAATATTTATATGTGCCATGTACATTGTAACTAAGCACCATATATAGGGCTTATATATGAACCATCTATAGTTCCATATTCATTAAGAATGGCCAAAACATTATATGGTCTGGACGGCTTCCAAATACAGTCTTCCATATGTAATCTTTATTTGTACCATGCACATTCCGAGCTAAGCACCCCTTTATGGCCATATTTGATAATTCGCACGAAATCTGAATATGGAGTCCCCGGAAGGGCATGCAACCTGCCGGCATCATGTATGCACGTGTGGAGGGAACAGAAGTTTATGCAGGGAATTGTTTCTGGGTTATGGATAACGGTGTTTCAGATGAACTGCGGGGATGTGTATTTGTTTTATTGCTATATTTCAATGTTGCTTATCCTTCGTGGCCATTTTCATACAATTCCTTGTTAAAAATTTGGAATGTCTAGGTATATCAAGGAAATGAAAAAGGAAAAGGCAAAATAGGTGTTTGCAGTTAACGTGCTGTACCTCTCCTGGGGACTATAATGAACCTTAATATAATGAAAATGAATTAAGAATTTGACAATGTCCAGTTTCCATTCACAATGGTTTACAGTCTAAAGCTAGACTAATTTGAAATTATTTATATGGAATCATAGCATGCATTGTAATTTATGGAAATTTTCGTACGCTCCCCATTCTCGGAATGTAACAATCATGCATGAGGAGTCTGGCTAGTTCGTCCTCATCCAGCAGTCAATTTTTAGACACAGATTGATATTGGACAAGTATGGGTTCGAATGTCTTGAAAAGTTTGAATTTTGTGAAGAAACATACAGTCATCTTTAATAGGCACGACTGCTTTTTGGTCCATGCAAAATCAGGGACTTGGCATTTTGATAAAACTTTGAATTCCATAATATAAACCCCGGTTTTCTGGTCTACAACAGCCTCATGAAAAAAAACTGCTTAATCAATTAAAATCAAATTAATACAACGCATCAAATTTTTTTCTATCTGGGCAGTTAAAACTTGTATTACTTCCTCGACGATCTTTCTTCTGAACTTCTCCTTGAATTGCGGTTTAATAATATATTCTTAAAACATTACTGGGAAGAATACTACACCTTGCATGAGATGCTGCACAAAGTATGTGATGATTACGGTAGTACTCCGGGAAATACAAGCACTGAGATGAAATCGCTATAAAATACGGAAATATATCCCTATATCTGACCAAATTCGACTCAAATTTTTTTCTCGCACTTTTCCTTTCCTGTGAAATGTCTACTTCACTTGTCAGATTCTACTTTTTTCATGTAATGCCAAAATCATTTCATTGTTTAGAGCATAACATATGGGCGTGTGAAGAAAGGGAAGTCATACGGTGGTATTGTCGCGCCAATTTTCATCTATATTCTTATTGGAATCGAAAATGTAGAACCGCGGATTGGTATCCTGGATGTCCTCCACCTTCACTGTCACTGTCCCCGTTGTTGTTCTGGGAGGATTTCCATACTTATCTTCACAATCCTGTAGGTAAACGGATGCAGGTTAGGAATGTTCCACGAATGTTTAAGTAAATGGTTAGGATTGCGAAGGACTCACTTGAACTGTGATGGTAAAAGTATGTAATTGCTGAGTTTCAAAGTCCAGTTCACGAATGACGTTCAAAACAGCCACTGTCCTGGGTGGTGTAGGAAGGCTCGGGTCTGGGATATTTACCAGCTCAAAATAGCCACGTGGATCCTGTTGTTTGTCAAATGTGAAATGGCAGTTTGAACCGATCATAGGAAAGAAGGAGAATGGTCACGTGAATGCCATCATGAACTACAAAAGGACTCCAATTTGTCATCAGTGTTTGAATTAATCACAAGATTTAAACCATTTCTGAATTGAGCCACGGAAGTAATGCTTCAGATATCTTCGGATTTTACATGATCGAAGAACTGCAAACGGCGCCATTTCCATGCACGGTGGAGAGGAGGTGGAGGCTAATGCAAGGGCAAGGAAGGAATGTCAGATTCCAACATTCATCTCCTCTCAGCATCAAAGTCCACCATTGGCAGAATAGTAAATTTGAATGTTACAACGTTAATTGTGGGATTCACATATAAGTATTGCAGGGAATTTCTCAAATGTAAGGCATGTTATTGAAATGTGAACATGGTTGCCACTTTCAGTATCTGGCATTAATAGAAAAACATAACTACCATAACATTTTCGTAATGACTTGAGCGGTACTTGTCTTTCTCTTGAGAATTTGCATTTCACTATCAAATCCATTGAGGCGCTAAATCATCTTCATGGCAGCATCTTTCACTATCTTTAATGCTGAGAAATGTATTCAATACAATGCAGATCTTTTGAAATCTCTCGTACTCTTTTTCTTGAGTAGCAAGCGCCTTTTAATTATATTTTACATGAAAATTACAGGAATATGCATTTTTTTAACCGAACGCATCCTAGCAAGTGCCTCCCTAATTTTAGTTGGATCTGTGCTCGCTGTCGAGAGGATTTCTGGGAATTTGCTAACATCTCTCTCGAGTGATTAGTTCCGTTCTCAATTGATGTCAGGTTTCGGTTTCCATTTCCTCGAACGATTTCTTAACTTGGAACTAGCCGCCTCCATGAAACTTTCATCGACTTCAGTCCCATAACGGTCAAATAAGACACACCGTTGGAATTTTGAAAAGCCACGTTTCAGATCAGTAAATTTTGGTGCATTCCCTCAATTCCGCGTCCCACTCAAATCCCGAAATTCGTTTTATAAGTTTTCTATGAATACTGCCATTTAATTTTTAAAAAAATTAGGTTTGAATTTGAAAAATTCACTCTGAATGAATAAGAAGGGATGCGTTCCGTCATCCAGAAAGCTCAAAAGCAGGAGTGAGTATAACTGTGTGAGCCCGTTAGATCAGAGTCATGACATGGTCTACGACAGGAATTAATGATTGGTTGACAGAGGACCGCATCGCGGAGGGGGGTCGCGCTTTTTGACACCAGAAAGGTTATGAGGTCATATACGCGTCGGATGGCAATGATCGATGTCCATTTCTTCAAGGAGGGAGCTAAGGTGGTCGGGACAGCAAAAGCGAAAGAGATGCAGCCTTTTCTTTTAGGATTATAGATAGGAACTCCTTCGGGTTCTGATATCTCCTTTGACTGTCGAATGCGCCCGTGAAAATTGCGGCACGTTTTCTCCCCTCTCCCTGACGTTTCTGTGGACTGTACTCGGAGTTTCAGTCATCGGTGCCGAAGTGCCATGAATAGTGTATCGATCTGACACCAAAAGAGACTATCGTCACGTCGGTGTCCCTGGTGTACCCAGTGATGTGCAGTTCCTCCTAAACCACCTCCATCTAGTGCCCATTAAGGCGGAGCACTTACCTCCAGAGCCTTCTGATAGCAGGTCCCATCGCGGTAAACGTAGTAGAAAGCGAGTAAGAGCAAAGGGCGCCAAGAGAAGGAACATTTTCCTCAGCTTCCTTTTACGGAGCAGTCGTTACCAGTTATTGATCGCTGTGGCGGGATGTGGAGATATCTTAGCCAGACATCCCTGAGTTAACAGGATGGCGCATACCATGGATTACATACTTCTTGAAGGCATTCTCTCCTCAGACCTATTCGAGATAGTACCAGAAACTCCAGATAGGCCTAACGTTCCACATCCCACAGAAACGGTTCAGGAAACGCGAGGCAGGCCTCAAATCGGTCTAACGTTAGACGCCCTCTCTTAAATGGTTCGTGATAGTATGAATCGGCCTACGATTGGCCTAAAGTTATACGTCCTCACCCTTACGGAAAAATCCTGTAGGATCCTATAAGATTTTTTAAAGATGAAAATCTTATGAGACCCTTATAGGAATTCTATACGATTTTTATGTTTCAAAAATATTATAAGATCTTGCAGGATTTTTCCGTAAGAGCAACCAGATGTCACGAAGACCCTAATTCACCCTTATAGGCCTAATTGGCGTGTGCAACGTAATATCTTGCTATCTCAAGCCACCATGCACTGTCTAAGAGGTAGTAGACTGCATTGCCGACGCTTTGAGCCAGACAAAGGGAAGGGAACCAGTTATTCTGTGTGGACTTCAACGCCAGATCAGATACGAGCGACGAGAAGTTCCGCGCAATATGCAACCTTCTTTACCCTAGAGACTTCCATCTTCTTAACGCTTTCACTGCCGAGGAATTTTCGCCAATCCAACCTCTCCTTGCCTAGAATGGCAGCGGAGTTTCGTCGCGCTGAACACACCATATGGCGTGAACGGCAGCGAAAGAGTTAACGACCCATACTCGCCCACATATGCTACAATGACTGCAGCAAAATCGACCTGGTCATCACCGATGCCACTGCCTCCGCGATCTGCTCACAGAAATGTGTCAATGACAACGCCACCCCCTAAAGAAACACCTATCACTACTAACAAAGTGGACGCTACCCAACCCTGACTCTCTTCGCCCGACTCATTCAATGTCCAAACGCAAGAGTATAGTAAAGTATCTATAGACGCCAGTCTCCTCCATCACCCAAATTTATCCCGTATGGAACTCGAGCTGGACCTCGACCGAATCGACGTAGCTTTCCAATTGCGACGAGACCCAACTCTTGACGCCGTGCCCCTTCAACAGAAGCGGAAAACGAAAGGTCAACCATGGTTCGACCGGGAATGCCGAGTTGCTCGAAAAGAGGTTTAGAGAACTCTACACCTAGCAAAAAGAAATCGCAGGGTACACTCAGAATACTCACTTCGGCGAAGAGAGAACAAACGACTTCTATCTCGCAAGAAATCCGTCCATCAGGACCACCAGGACAGGATATTCATGAGAGAAGTGGAAGTGAAACCTTGGAGACTTCTCGTGAGCTACGACAGAGCATTCAAGTCCTGCCCCATTGCGTTTAGAAATATGGGAGGAGCATTTCCATCGCCTCCTAAACCCGACCGGCATTCTCCCAGATTTTAGCGACTCGGAGCACCTTTATAACACCGGAAGCCATCTACCACTTAATGCACCATTCAGCGAGGAGGAAGTTACCGACGCCATACTTTCCTTCCCAGACGGGAAGGCCACAGGTATCGATGGCATCTGCTACGAGGACCTCAAAGGATCGGTCGGCCTTACAAGCCATCTGTGGAAAAGACTATTCAACACATGTCTAGAAAGAGGCGAGGTGGCCACCCATTGGAAACACAACCTCATAAAAGAACTTTTCAAAGGGAAGGGCTCCAAAAATGACCCCGACAGATATCTGGGCATCGCTCTGACCACTTCGCTCTAACTGTTTTCAAGGTCATCACCGAGCTACTCTGTCAGAGGATCACTCGTCGCAGGGAGCGCTATTTACATGAAGAAGAATTAAGATTTAGTCACGGTCGCGGAACAATAGATGTTCTGAAAATGTTCAAGTCCAAATTGGACGCCTATCTCAGCGTACTAAATAAACCCTTATTCGCACTCTTTGTAGATTTTAAGAAAGCTTTCGATAGCATCGATTGCCTTCTCCTCCTCCTCAAATTAACCCGAGGATCTTCTCTTACTAGGAAAAATTATAAGACTTCTTGGCACCATACTTAAGTAAAACCTGATCCAATAGACGACGATTTCTGCGGAACAATCCTCATTGCCCAAACCCAGGGTGTTCTCCAGGGCGACTCCTTATTCCACTTTAACTCATTATTTTCTCCGCAGATCTCCCATAATTGATAAAAGAACGTTATGCCAATATCAAGATAATTATGTTCGCATACAACATCATTATCTAATCCCCGTCAAGAGACGCTCTTCAAACAGCCGTGAACGCATTGGAGCTATGGGCCAGAGAGAATTCTCTCCGAGTGAACACAGACAATACGAAAGTGATGAAATTCCGACTCCGTGGGAAACTGGGGAAACTAGATAAAATCAAGTTTGGGTATACGAATCTGGAGTTCCTCAATGAATTTTCCTTTCTCGTAGTCATATTCCAAGTCACTGGAACGTTCACAAAGCATATAAAGTCGAAAGTCCGAAATGCAAGATAGCGACTTATTCCATCAAGAATCTATAAAAGCTCTCAATACTCTCAAAAGCTCTGTCTCCCTTCAAAATAAAAATCATGCCAATTTGCACTTACACTCTCCACATCATCTGAAACGACCTGTCCACTTCCCATTTCCAAACCCTGAAAAGAATCATAGCGATATCTTAAGGAAGAGTAATAGGAGTCTCACTCATCACCCCGAGCAACCTGATCATCGCTATGTGTGAAACATCTTCTCTTATTGAAGACATTCTCGAAACTTGGAAGCTGGAACCGACGGCATCAGTTGAAAACCTGCGCGGTACCACGGCAGTAAAGGCCTTACCAGACGAGTTCCTTAGCTATGACACAAAATTCCTGGAAAGCCTCAAAATACCATTCCCGGCACGTCATCACTTGGTTTTTAGTCACAGGATTCCACTATCTTATCAGCATAATGAAGGGTTTCCACCGACCAAGTGATGCCTGCTCCTGCAGACTGTGTAATAACTCAGCAGCAAATATTTTCCGCCTCATGTCATGCACGAGGAACCCCCATCCGCTGCCTTTTTGGGCCATGACTGTTTCGCGTTTAGTTTACTACACGAGGGGCGTTCCAAAAGTTTCTGGAAAATATTTCTTTAAAAAACTAGAGGTCGTAGAGGTTAGAACTTAAAAAAAAATACGCCCGAATAGAAACATGTTTCCTTCAGCCATATGTCATTTGTGTGGTTGCCTTCATGGTCTTCACATGAAAAAAGAGGAGCTCATTTTGCAGCAGAGTTCCGTGATCTGCTTTCTGTGTGTGGAGGGTGCTACCGGGAGGGAAATTCATCGGATGTGGAAAAAAGTGTTTGGACCGGAAACCCTAAACAAGACACAAGTTTTTGAGTGGATTAGAAAATTTAAGGAAGGACAAGTGACAGTTAAAGACACAAATCGCAATGGGCGGCCTTCAGTTGCAATGGCTGAGAAGAACACGGCCCGCGTGCATGAACTGGTGCAAGCTGACTGACACATCACAGTGCGTGAAATTGCTGCTGATCTTGAGATAGGCCACAACGCTGAAGAAACTCTTGCCTCTTCATGACAACGCCAGGCCGCACACTGCTTTGGCAACTTCCACCCTTCTTGCCGAGTTTCAGTGGACTGTTGTCCCACATCCGCCCTACAGCCCTTATCTTGCACCCTCAGACAATCACCTCTTTGGATGCCTGAAAAATCCCCTACGGGGAATTCATTTCAAGGAAGGAGGGTACCTCAAGGCCGCAGCAACAAGCTGACTCCGACAGCAGCAGCCCGACTTCTACAAACAGGGAAAATATTTTTTGCTCTTCCGATGCCTAAAGTGCTTGAATCAGCAGGGCGAGTATTTTGAAGGGTAGGGGCGATGTTGAAGAAAATATGTGGGAAGTTTCTACACATTGGACACAGTAGGTATTTTTTTAAGAAAATCATTCCGGAAAATTTGGAACACCCCTCGTATTATTATTATTTGCTGTCATACTGATCAATTGACTAATTATGCATTTGTATTGCTTGACGAACTGACCCATTTAATAACTTCACAATGCTCATGCCTCACAGGGTGCAATGCGATAATAAATTATAGATTGGGGAGCAATCGCTCGCGGACATGGGACAACTATAACGGGTAGTTCGGTGCCTTAATATATTGATATCAAGCAGGGACTTCGTAATAATCGGCTGAAGTAATTTTTTACACAGATACGCGTAGGTTATGTCACAAAAAGGATGAGTTGAGGAGGAGTATGGTAGGAACTAGTTCCCATGCTATCAGGAATACTTAAACGTGGGAAAGCTCGAACACCATGGATGAAGACTGTGAATTCCAGGGATCCGACTCTGTGTAAGGATAGGCTCGGAATACCTACCACGACGCCACCAGGGTATCCTTAGGCTGTTATGGTCGTGGTTTATGCGAGAAACGAACCAGGAGTCTGCTTTCGAGAGGATACGACTTACACTTATAGTCGAACAATATAACATTAATGGTGTGCGATGGGGAGACGACAGAAATGATTATTTTTTAGGAATCCACTATACATGGTGGGCCATAAATATTCATACCAAATCGAAGTATTATATTTCCTATAATAATAGCTTCTCATAGAATCAGTTGAATCTCGACAAACAAAGGCTCACAGTAACTCTTCACAAAATATGTTCGATGTGTCCCCGTTCTTTTTGAAGGCAACCTGAAATCTTCGAGTCAGTCAGTCGATCGCACCGGATGGATATGATTTCACTCCTCTTTCGGCATGAACCTTAACTGGTTCAGGTTGATGGATTTCGTTTTTGGGCACTTGCTTCAAGCAGCCTTCGACAGAGTAATCGGTTTGATTACTGTCAGAATTGTATGGGGGTCATTCATATTCTTTCATAATTTCTGTCTCATTGTCAGCTAAACAATTTTTGTAACCTTAAGTTATTTCTAGGCGGAGAAGCATTCAGTTAAACATCCAAGGTTTACTACCATAGAGACGCATTGAGGTACAAAACATTTTTTAATTGCTGCTTTTAGGCGTACAGAAAAAGAGAAGTTACATGTGGGATGAATATTTATGGTCCACCCTGTAAGCCCCAAAATTGCGCCTTGAGAAGGCGACCTACAGTCAAAGGTTTCTCAATGAAAGATTTCATATTGATTGGTTCAGCTCAGCAAGAAAACACACCTTATTTTTTTTTACTTCAGAAGTTCTTTTTTTTTTCTACGATGCAACTTTTTTTGGTTCAGCTTGATAATGCACCACTTGCTCGATCATTCTTGGCTGATGAAAAACACTCTCCTGAACACGTATTCGAAGCTTGGATTCCTTCAATTTAACAGCCAGGCAATGGCAACCGCTTCTTCCAGGGTGTTCAAATCAGGCTAAAGGGCAGCTTTAAGAACAGATTCTATCAGTTGCCCTCAGAAGCAAAAATCCAGCCACGACCAGATACCATGCAGGTTTTTCCAATAATTTTACCCATGATTCATATTAATTGCCCTGATACGGGCAGTTATTCCTAACATATAAGGGAAAGAAAACGTCAATGACCGAAAAAAGCGACAAGCAAAGTGTGGAAACAATTGAATACCAATGGATGAGAATAATGTGATAGAGGAGCTGCGGAGATAGCAAAAAGCAAGGGAGGGCTGTGTACTTTAGGACAGAAAAGAAGGAATGAGATAGTGTCCTTCCATCCCAACAACTGAATAAAGAATGAGCCAGTGAAGTCCCTACAGCCCCTCATATGAACATCGTGACGTCACGCTGCAAGCGTGCATATTAACGGCCTCCTCTACGGCGGAGGTTGGGTAGTGACTTAGTTCTCCCTGTGTTGGAAGTCATCTTACAATGAGCATTTTCCAGAGGATTCAAAAGGTTTAATTCAGTGATAAGCAACCTATTTTTGACTGCGGGCAAAAGTCCGCAGTCAAAACATGCCACATGTTTTTTTTTTAAATACTGAATTACAGGCTTTATACTTGCAGAGTACTAAAATAATCCTAAGCCCGGCTTTGTAAACCAGATTGTCAAATAATTGATGCGAATGACATGCTAATAACTAATTAGTAATATTTTCTCATCTTTTCACTGCGCAAAATCCCAACCAAGTCGCTTGCTCCGAGAGCAGTGATACACTGACCAAGAAGAGAGCAAAGGTATATTTACAGTGGAAATATAGCATTTATGTTATATTTCCTGCTTCCATATCTCGCAACGGGCAACGGAATCCTTAAGCGCCCTTGCGTTCGACCCCGGGTGGCAGATAAGAAGGGGAAAATATTCAGTTGGGGCCGCACACTAGGACATCGCGGGCCACATGCGGTCTGCGGGCCGTGGATTGCTTATCACTGGTTTAAATAAAAGATGCAAGTGTGTAAGTCGCACACTTATGAAACAGTAATTGCTGAAATTGAATTCCTTGCAGGCGCCGATGATGTGGGCCCTACAAGACAGTTCACTCTAAGGAAAAAACAGAAGTAACCAATACCTTTCCACTTTTTCCTTGCGGTGCTGTGCCAAGAACCTTAATGGCTGGAGTTTCACATTCTCAATATGCGATTTCTCCAGGAGTATTGGTAATAACTTCCAAATGATTTTTTTAGTAGCAGTCTATATTGAAGTTGATTTTTAGTTTCCTTAGTCATGACCATATGCTTTGACACATGACCAGGATATTCGGAAATCGATCAAATGAGAAAGGGTTACTTACGGAAGAATTGTAGAAGAGACACTCATTGTCCCCGAAGTCATCGTCCAAGGCCTTGATCAAATACTCGTTCTTTTCTCCAGGAAACTCTCCCACGAATCCCTTGATAGCACCCGATTTGCAAAGTCATGTCTCAGGAAAGCTTGAGAAAGGCTCGGAAAAAAAGGAAAAAGCCTCGATGTCAGCTTTTGTTGACTTACCTCTGGGACGGAAATCTGCACCGGTATATTGTCCCATTTTGGGTCCTGGTCATTCACGGGGTTGATGAGCAAGACAAAGGACCCGAGACTGCCCTGTAGAAGAAAGTGGAAGGTAGACACCCGTCAGCAAATTTTTTCGAAGATGCGGACACAACAGATGCGACGTGATTCGTATTTTCTACCTGAAGCCATATGATAATTTCCCCTTCGTCCATGAAATCTTCATAAACATGGTGCTCGGCCCAACCCAGATCGGCTACAGTCTCATTTGTTTGGAGGATCTTGAAGAATGTCTTATCATCGTGGGGCGTCGCAGCAAGAAGATAGAGTTCGGTGCATCCTGACTTGCAGAGGACTCGAAAGAGGGTAATGTTTTGCTCAATGGGGACATCTTCCCTCACAGCCGCTTCTGTCGAGTCTGCATTCCATTCGGCGTAGGTTTGGTCCATCAATTGAAACCAATTCTCCTCGAGTTCCAGCATTTCTGCAGAGACCAGCTACCAAATGTTTAGCTTCTCTTCCATTGCAAATGTCTCTTAAAGACGCAAGTAATGTTGCTGGATATCGCGCCTTAGTTTTGCCGGATTCATGACTTCTTTGGACTTAATATAGGTGTCTGGATTTTCTGCTTTATTCATGCATAACATAATTATATGTGGATTTCATTAGATGAGCTGAGATTGAAATTTTGGCTAGCAGATCGCTTTCGTGGGATGAGGAGATATCTCATTCGGACAACCGTAAATTAACATGGTGGAGGTCAGCTATATGTCATGCTTTCTGAAGGCATTTTGTTCTCGGAATGAGTCGAGACGCTTCAAAGAAAGGAAGGATTCCGAAAAATGCGCCTTTTGCAAAAATATGTGCCCTGGGGGGTTTGACATGAAAAGTCATCTTTTTGCGGGAATCAGTACTCAGAGAACCAGTTACATATCAAGTTTCAGCCTTATCCGTTTGCTCTTTTTACTGGTGGAAAAATACATTTCGAGAAGCCGATGTTGCCAAAGGCCGTGCTCCGAGGGTATGCACCGCAAAACTTGAAAATTTTCTGAACTCACTATCACCTCAGTTAATGATGTGCCAGGTTTCACATTTCTATTTAAGCCTAATTCCGCAGTACGAATAAAAATTATTTGAAAACGTCACCAAACAAAAATATCCCCAAGGCATATTTTCATCTGGTCATCCGAAACTTAAAATTCTTCCTGAAGTCAGAGCGTCAGTAGGCACGTCATGTTAAGTTTCACTTTTCCATGTTCATCCGTTTGCGCAAAACAAAAAATTACAGGAAAACATCTAGTACATGTTTTCATTTACCTCCTGTTACCTTCGTTTATTACCTCCTTTCATTAACCTCCTTTCAATTACCTTTTTTCATTTATCTCCTTACATTTACCTTTTACTTCAATTTACCTTTTCATTCACCTCCAAAAGCTGAACTTGTTTAGAACTCAGCATTCCAATAGATACTTCCTGTCGGAGCACATCACATTGAAACAACATTGATTCAAAGTTGATTCAACATCCGGACGTTGAATCAACGTTGATTTAATGGTACGTACTACTAGGGTAATATATCAAGTTTCAACTTTCTATGCTCGATTCGGTATGACATAAACTTTTTTTTGAAAAGTTCACCCCCCAGAAATATGCCTCAGAGCATGTGTCTGAAACTTGATGTTTTTCCTGAACTGAGTGTCTCAGTAGGCACGTCCATGCCAAGTTTCAGCTTTCCGAGTCTCTCCGTTTGACTGAAGCAAATATGTATGATTGAAAACATACCCCCACACTATGGGTACCCCCAGGGCATGTACCTCCAAAGTCTGATTTTTCTGAACTCTGTATCCCAAAGGTACAAATGTACCAAGTTTCAGATTTCTAATTTCGCAAGAACATGGTTAGAATTAGCGTCAGTCAGTCGGTCACGATCGTCTATATATACCTACTAAGGAGTATGTTTACCCTTCGAGTAAACAAACTCGCTGTGGTCGCGCCTTCGGCGCTCCATTGTCCCGTATAGTGTTTTAAAACTTACTTTCTAAGTGGCAATAACTTATAACAAATTTGTGCCTCTCAAAATGTCTTCCGAGAGTGAAAAAAAACGATATTTTCCTTGAAGTAATTACTTTGATTATTTATTGCGCGCATAACTTCAAATATATTCATAAGCTGACCTGAGGGATCATAATTGAAGAGTAGGATATGTAGGCTGCAATCCAACAGGTATTTCTGCTGCAGGATTCACATTTCTTGAGATCTCACTTTCATTAGATCATAAAGGATTCCGGAAAATGCGCTTTTTGGAAAATATATGTCCTCAAGGGTATACCTAAAAGTTAAAATTTTTACTGAAATTAGCACTGGGAGAATTATGTGCTTATGAAGGTTCAGTCTTATCCGCTTGCTCCTTTTTACTGGCGTCCAAAAAATCATTTTGAAAAGCCGACACAGCCAATAGCTGTGCCCTTAGGGCGTGCACCACAAAACTTTTATTTTTTCAGAAGTCCGTCCCGTTTTAGTGAGGATGACATGAAAGTGGAAGGAAAGCGTTGTCTTTTTTTTATTTTTCATCATAGACTCCCTCCTTATCGTGACCCAGTCGCCACCGTTTCGTCCATTCTCCGTAGCACTGGATTAATGAATTCCACTGGAAAATCGCACTTCCAAATGCAGCTCTAGATGCGAAATGGGTGACACGAAGCGAATCCTTGAGCCTACCGAACAGCCAGAAGTCGCTGGGAGCTAGATCAGGTGAACACGTTGGATGAGGCAAGGTTTCGATCCCCGCTTCGATCAGAAACTGCTTCGTCACGTGCGCTGTGTGAGGTTGTGTGTTGTCCTGGTGGAGGATGAATTTTCCATTTGCGGGCAGCGAGTAGAGTTTCGCCACAGCAGGAAGCAGTTCCTATCGAGGCAAATCCCGGAAATATTGTTCTTTAATTGTTCGTCCTTTGGGGACCGGGTGTGCTAGAACAAGCCCATGCTTGTCCCAAAAAATGCATACATAATTTTGCCATTCGACGCCGCTTGTGTGAATAATTTCGGAGGCGGTGAGTCACTGTGCTCCATTGTTTGGATTGCCTTTTGGATTCCGGATTTAAGATTGGGATCCAGGACTCGTCCATGGTAATGAATTTATCCAAAACTCCGCAGGATCGACCGCATGTCTTGTCAAAAGCGCGCGATCAATGACCAAGCGCTCCTGTTTCTTCTGGTCGTCAAGCATGCGGGGCACCCAGCGGGCGCTGACTTTGCTCATGTTGAGCTTTTCAGTCAAAATGCGAGGGACGCTCCCGTGAGACATTCCCTGTGCTGAGGGGATGTTTTCGATAGTGCGCCGTCCGTTCTCCATATCCATCGTCTCCACACGGCGAACATTTTCCTCAGTCAATGAAGTTCTTGGCCTTCCTGAACGATCTGCATCCTTGGTGGATTCTCTTCCCCCAGCAAACTTACAAACCCACTTACGAACGGTGCAGTCGGTGAGGGCAGCTTCGCCACAGACTTTCCTCAGCTGTCGGTGAATTTCAGCCGATTTTCCTGCACGTGGTGACATAAATTTCCGCACGGCGTTTTTCTCTTCTTCAGTGAAGTTCATTTTTTATGTCACTATCAAAATTATCTCGCACAAAAATGTATGCAACGCCCCCCAAAATTTCGTTCAATGCCGTCATGTTTACAGCTGACAAGTAAGGGACAAAGGACGATATTGGCTCCCACACTGAGACTATGCCATGGCCAGTCCAGAAGAGGCCGATGAAGGCCTCCTGTACGAACTTTTGGGACTCATCTCGTATATGGAATACGTAATTCCTTTCTTTCCATTTCTACCCTTACGAAAAGATCCTATGGGATCCGATGAGATTTTTGAAAGAAAAATCGTATAGGATTCTTATACGAATCCCAGAGTTCCTTTAGGATCCTATAGGATTCTTATCGGATCCTATAGGAATCCTATCAGAATCCTATAAGAATTCGATAGGAATTCTGAGATTTTTTTGTTTCAAAAATCTTATAGGATCCTATAGGAATTTTCCGTAGCAAGTAGCAATGATGCCACAAACGTGTTTAAAAGGCGGAATGTATGTTCTCGCATGGTTGAAACGAGACCCAGTTCAACATTGAAAATACGCTCATTTGTCATCTTGAGCCAGCGTTGAATTGTGAATGTCTGGGCCTTATCTCCTCCCATTCCAGAGATTGAAAATGCGCTAATAGAGATAACATATTGAAAGTGCTTGAATGAGTGTTATCATCCCCCGGTTGGTTCCTCCAGAGATTGTATTTTCTATTACTTGATCGGATTCCGAGTTACGCACTTGAAAGGCACAACTCATTCGGTCCAGCCGAATGAGTTGTGTCTGAATGAGATGATGTGTCTGATAGCATCCCCAGACTTACTTGCTTAGTGGATGAGACAGACACCCTCTTGCCGACCTCTTAACACGCTAACATGCTTCCCATCGGGGATTGGTTTCATCTAACCATTTCAGATAATTCACAACAAAATAGTGCAGTCTTTTTTTTTAAGAATGAGAATAAGAATGAGAAGAAGCTTTTTTTTAAGAATGGTCGATCACGCTAATGGACGACGCTATGTACCATTTCCCTAAATATGGAAGTGTCCCAAAAGACGTTGCCTGGATATATATTCAATAGAATGCGTAGAGTAGGAGGAGTGGGGGTGGTGAAGGGGGTTCTATTTTGTTACTGACTTACCGAAGGACAAGACTACCGACGAAATATTGTCTCTTTTCATTTCTTCCATGTTGTCCATTTCAATGTTGTTCAGAAGATTTGGGAATATCAAAGTATTCTCCCCTACAAAGCTCCACATTTGATAATAGCTTGACTCATTGAAGAAAGAGGGAAATATGAAGATATTAAATAAATATTCACTTCCCTACTTTGCAAAGGACACTGTTAGGTTTTCGTGAAATTTATCGTAATCCTCTCTAGGTTAAATGTGTCTGCGCTTTTGTCAGGCGTAGGTCAGCTGAGTAATACCTATATTCGTTATATAGAAAGTCAATGGAAAGCCCATGAATTTCGCCATGCTCTACCTAATCAAGTTTTGCAGCCTCAGCCGGAATTTCGGCCAAAATTCACAACTGTTTCGGCTTTTCGCGTTTCTAACTTCATAAAATCTACACATCCGACGGCTGCAGAAACAATAATAGTAGTAATAGTAATAATGGCAATAAGAATGCGACACGGATCCCGTCATAGGGCAGGTTCGATCCGTGCAAACGTTTCAGCTTCATGTGTGCATGAAACACGAACAACTTTCTGAAACTCAGGTTCTGCTGATGATACGATCGTACTCACCGGCATGAGGAAAGCCGACGATAGCGAGGACGAATATTAAATGGATCCAAGTCATGTTCTCATTCCCTCGGGTCTCAATTCGCTCACGATTTTTCTCGGAATCACTTTCAACTGCATGAAACACAGAGACAGATGGATTTAGAGTGCGTTATCTGCAGAGAGAGCTTTGATAGCCCCCCCCCACCTTTTAAGATAACGACCATCAAGGCCGTTCTGTTTATACTTTTTCCTCTTTTTTGTTGCATTATGATCTGTCTCGTTTGTTAAAGTTTGTGACAATACATTACCAATATTCGAGTCAAGCAAGTTGCAGACATTCGCGTTTAGGAAAATACTTCAGGAGTCATAGGCTTTTACAAATAAACAAAAAGGCCTTATGCGGACATGTCTCCAGGAAATAGATAACGCACATGGAGTATGATTGCAAAACATCCGTCAAAGTCATGCGCACCTCAGGTAGTACACTCACCAGAGTGACAAATCCTCTATGGAGGCAAATGGAATCCCTTATGTCATGCTACTGACATAAGGGAAAAAGGTGAAACATTACAGTGGCTCCAAAGTCAGTTCATCATGAATTATTTTTGACAATGGTGCAATTCCAACTCACCCCACGTAAATGAAAATGAGTTCCAATTCGCATCATTACGCTTCAATGCACTTCAGAAACTGTTCTAGTAGAAATTGGAGGGGAACTCGGAATTAAATAGTGCTTAGAGGTCGGTGGGGATCAGGATGAAAGTTTCAAGGTCTGTAAATGTTCGGGCTTTTGGAACGGTCGGCAGGGTCTTCGGTCATCACTTGCACCTCTTCCTTTGTAAGTTCACGAGCTATAATTACAGCAGAATTCAACCTGTCATGAGAGGGCAAATTACATTAAGGCCACCCTCTATAGTAATTTATGAGAAGTAAATGATATGAGGTACTCTCATGAATGTATCCAGGTCACCAGGAGTAATTTCAACATGGAAATTTGTTAATGCTGTTCTGGCTCTTTAGGATTGAAATACCTTCTTATTGAACTTGTTTCAAAAATGTTTCCCTGATCAGAAACGATCTTCCTCAAAGCCTAGGCTTTATATATATATATATATATATATATATATATATATATATAATATATAGGCTTTTTTGGAGTCCTGCTGAAGTAATTGGAGAGGGTTCAGTGTGCAAGCTGAGCATTTTAACTTTGAACTTTATTTAGTATTCATCTTTGTTCTTTCTCATTGTCTTCTGGAATATGGAAATTCAGCCATTCTTCATGTTCAACAACTACCTAATTGCCAAGAATAAGGAAAGAGAAAGAAAACGTAATGGGAAACTCCATACTTCCCACATATATAGACTCATATGCTGGATTGATTTTATTTAATCTGATTCGTGAATTCAGGTGACGCCTGGATGCACAAGTCGTTCCCTGGCGCCTTGTAAAATCTGCGAGCACATTACAATTTGTGGAATACACGGAGGACTCCTACAACCCTTTAAACTTGCTTTCTTAGAATCCCGTTACCGGTGGTACGGGGGCCAGTTGAATTCCAGATCTGTAGATGGGTTGGTACTCTATGGTTATTATATTCCTTCACTAGAGTAAGAATCGGAGATCCAGATATAATATAAGATATAAGATGTATTAATATATACGTAAGTGCGTCATTAGACAAGCAACGAGACGTCAAAGACGACTAGAGTGCAGGGTAAACCCGTGCGTGGTGTAAAGAAGACTCGCGGGTCATTTCTGCATATCGGTCAACGGTAAAGCTTCTAATTTTCTAAAAGGTGTGCATCTGCATCGTGCATATAAATTTTCACTTAACATACCAGATTGGCCTGAGTTTTATTTTTTCTCATTATTCCACATGATGGTAAAGTCGTAGATGCACTTTTAAGCTTGCACGGAAGAGATCTGGAAATCTTAAGGAGGTCATGCAGAAAAAGGG